AGGATCGGACATTGTTTCATTCTGCTGTGCATGGGGTCGCTATGAGTCGGTTACGACTCGATGGCACCTGACAACAACAACCAATGGATTAAATACACCAGTCAAGAGACAGAGAGTGGCAGAATGGATAAGAAAACAACACTCTTCAATATACTGTCTGCAAAAGACACACCTTACACACAAAGACAAAAACAGATTAAAAGTTAAAGGATAGAAAAAATATATACCAAGCTAATTGCAATAAAAAACGAGCAGGTGTGGACAATACTCATCTCTGATAAAATAAACTTTAAGGCAAAAACCAGCTTAAGAGATAAAGAAGGACATTATCTCACAATTAAAGGGTCAATTGAACAAGAGGACATAACCATAATAAATATCTACATTTCCAATGAGAGCACCAAAATATAGAAAGCACACCCTAATAGAATTGAGGAAAGAAAAGACAAATCTACAATAATAGTGGGAGATTTTAATACACTACTTTTGAAAAATGATAAAACCAGAAAGAAACTTGAAAAAGACACAGAGGAACTAAACAACACAATCAACCAACTTGACCTCATAGATGTGCACAGAGCATTCAACCCAACAAGAACACAACATACATTCTTTTCCAGTGCACATGGAACATTCTCCAGAATAGCTATGTGTTAGGCCACAAAACAAGTATCCATAAGTTTACAAATATCAAAATAATATCAGGAAAAGCATCTTCTCAGATCATAGTGCTATAAAACTAAAAATTGACATAGGAAGACCAAGGAAATAAAGTCAAATACATGGAAACTTAATAACACCCTGCTTAAAAGCTACTGGATAGCAGAATAAATAAAAGTGAATTCACACAGTTCCTAGAGACAAATGAGAATGAAAACACAACATACAAAAATCTTTGGAACATGGCAAAAGTAGTGCTGAGAGGACAACTTATTGCAATAAATGCACACATCCAAAAAGAAGAAAGAATCAAAATCAACACATTAACACAACATCGCCAAGAATTAGAAACAGGCCAGCAAAATAAACCTACAGTCACCAGAAGAAAAGAAGTAATAATGATTAGGACAGAAATAAATGAGATAGAAAACAGGAAGTAAAAAAAAAAAGACAGAGAGAGAGAGACTGGCAGGTGATCTGTGCTGGCATACCAGGTGTGGCGTGGCTCTCCTGAACTTTTGTGGGTGGCTTTGAAGGCAAAAGGCAACTTAGCTGTGCAGAGGCATACTGTTTACTGGCAGAGAAAAAGGTGTAATTTTTTTCTTGTTCCCCACATTCCCCTGGTGATGAGAGGCATAGCCAGCCACCATCCCAGTGAATCTCCTGCTCTCCAAGCAGTCAGCACTGCACAGTGGTGAATGCAGTAAGGAGGGCATCAAAGTGAGCTGGAAGCTATCTGCACCAATCCCAAAGCCTAGATTCAAATGCGGCCTCTTCTAGACCTGCACAGCTGGTTCTGGAAAGCTCTGGACTAGCGGGAACTCTCGTCCCAAGCTGCCTGGATTCAATTAGTACAATAGACTAACGGTCTCAATAATTCACACCAGAAGAGCTAGATGGTGCGAAGTTACCATTACCAACTGCTCCGAAAGGGTTTACATTAGAAGATCCCAGATAGAGTAGGAGAAAATGTGGAACAAAACTCAATATTATCAGAAAGACTGGGCTTACTGGTCACAAAGAGACTGGAGGCACCTTAGACTATGGCCTTCGTTCACCTTTCAGGTCTGGAACAAAACACACCCTCATGGCCAAATTTCCAGTCAAGTGGTAGCTAGTCACAGAGGGAAGACAACAACACTAGTAAGGTATGCTCACCATGAGCATTCAAGGTCAATCATTCAAGATCAAAAGGACAACATTTACCTAAAAGACAAAGTTGAGAAGGGAAGGGGTGGGAAGGAGGGTGGAATAGGAATAAGAAGCACAGGGAGGAAGCAGGAGAACTGTTTATACATGGAGGGAACTGCAATCATTGAGATGAAACAGTGTTGACTATAAAACTGATGATCTATCTGCTCTATAAATTTCACTCAATTCACAAGAAAAAGTTTCAAAAAAAAAAAAAATGTGGTTCAAGTAGTTTCTGAATGATAAATCTCAAGTATCAATTCCACTTTTAATGATGAATTCTCTGAACGTGTGTTTAATTAAAATGATTATTTTAAATGCTTCTATTTAATTTAAACATAGGAATTAGCTAACGTTTAATATTACTGCTTCATCTAATTTGAAACCAATTCATTTATAAAATAGTTCAAAAGTGCTGTAAAATGATAATATTAAGGATATTAGAAAGTTTGCATCTGTTTTGCTGATTTCAGGTGTAGACCAACAGTGAACTGTCTAGGTGGGACTGCTGGGGGTTGGGCCTGGCTAATTTTAGAATCAAATGTTGATATGTCATTGACGTTTCCTTTACATGTATGATATGGACTTTAATTCCCCAGGAAATAGAATCCGTAGCCAAGGATAGGCTTATTTAAGCCTTCAAAAGCTCTGAAACGCCTCTTAGTACATGTAGCAGAAACCATTCTTTAGTAGATGATTTCTCAGTGTGTCTCTCTCAATGTGGTAAAATCTTTCTTGTGGGTCAATTCACCAAATTTAATCAGAATATCAAGCAAAAAAAAACAATGGACTTTTTCCACAAACTTTGGAAGCTCCCTCAGATATGTACATAACTACAAGTATAAAGCACAATACACGTATGAAGAGGTGTCAAAAAATTTGTGGAAAAAGTCCATAAACTTTCCATTCTGTTTGTCCTTGAACCTTTTGTAGCCCCCTTGTATATAATATTCATATACAACTTTTATATATGTAATCTGACATGTTGTTGCTGTTGCTAAGTGCCGTTGAGTCTGTTCCAACTCACAGCAACCCTGTACAGAGTTTCCAAGGAGATAGTTTGGACCTCCAGCCTTGCAGTTCAAAACAACCTTGCAGTAAAATGGTTATCCTACAGCGCCACACCAGGTAATCTTATATAAGAATATACATACTAAAGGACTTCAAAAGGTTCGTGGACAATTTCCATAAAATATTTGAAGCACCCTCATCTATACACAATTTCACCATATCTCATGATCATTTAAGGAGGACTATGGACTGTATTCTGACCTTAAAGCCTGACTCTCACATAAGGTGGATGCTCTGTATACCATTCTGACTCCCGGGATCTAAAAGTTGGCATGAAAGAGGACACGAAAATCTATGGAGAGAAGAAAGCTCATCGTTCCGTTGACAGTAACACAGGGGAAAGCACAGGTTCTCCTGCCACTGACCAATGTTTCAGATGTGTAAAGGAAAAGATGCAGGAGAGAGGGGTAAGGGGACTCTAAATACCTGAAAGATCTGTCTTGGAATGGCTGCTAACTTGACTACAGGGCTAGTAGCAAACTTGATTGACATCACAGGAGCCAAGGCAAAGAACATTTTAATCTTTTTGGCCAGCTCAGGCATCTGTGAAAATGCTATAAAGCCTGTGGAAACAAAAGGAAAGTAATAAGAATTTCATCTTCTGGCACTTCTTTCTTAGAAAAACCAAGTGCAGTTACTCATTCAAACCAAGGGCATAACTCATAGTTATGAAAACTATGCTGAAGTTAGGAGACAAAACACTAAAAATGTGGCCCTTTGAAAGCCTATGTTCGCAAACACTGAATTTGCTTAAACTAGCTAATCAAGAATTTGTCAAGTGCTTGTTCTAAATCTCAATCTAGATGTTCACTGGGAAAAAGCCAGGCTTTCAAAACTAGTTCTCCCCTGTTCCTTTAAAGTTTGAATCGTACAATGGTAAAACCACATTCCCAACAGCTCCACACAGCACCCCTATTCCCCACAGCCCTCTCTACTCCCTAAGACCCACTTGTACAGGCATTCAATTAAATCATCAGTGGCTCAAAGGACTGTGTAGGAGCGCCTAGCTTTAAAATATATCTTAGCTTCCTTTCAGATCACTTCCTGCCTTAAACATGACCCCACACAAATAGACAAGTCATAGAAGAAGGAACCTAAATGCAGAAGAATGCTTAACTTCATTCATGAGAAATTGAAATGTACCTAAGTTGTTTTTCATTTTCAGTCTTTCAAATTAGCAAAGAGTGTTTGGTGGTAGTAAATGTGAGGCAATTTAGCTATACACACACACACACCATATATATCTTGTTGTTGTTAAGTACCATCAAGTTGGTTCTGACTCAAAGCTACTCTGTATAGGGTTTCCAAGGAGTGGCTGGTGAGTTTGAACTACTGACCTTGTGGTTAGCAGTCCAGTACCCATCCTACAGCACCACACTAGTACTCCCCATATGTATCTAGATACTTAAAAAACACAGACATTCACATATTTAATATAGCAACTTCCCTTCTAGTGATTCATTCTATGGCAATCATATAACATTGACATAAAGATATTAATTAATTATAGTAAACACTAAAAGAGAGAATTACATAAACTATGAGACAGGTCCCTAAACCCTTTATTAGAAATTCTTATTTGGCAAAACTATGAACAATTTTTATTTTATTTAGACTTTGTCCAATTTTCTAGATTTCTTTATAATGAACAGATATTAATTTTCTAATCAGCATGAGTAAAAATGGATATATTTTTTAGAAACTTCTAAGTAAAATATACCCTGGAATTCTTGTATCTAATTTTGTTCCACTTAATTTAAAAGTCCATGTGTTTTCTTTTATAAAGACTCTGAAGCTAAAACAATCTGGTTCTACCCTTTCTCATACCCATAATGCTTAACTAGTAAAAAATTTTATAGGGTATGGTCTACATTAATTTCTTCAGTTTCAAAGAGAACCATGCACTACATTTCTCTGTTAATGTTGAAGTCTGAATTTCCAAAGAAAAACAACTAATAACTGAAGTCATTATCATATTCTTTACTTGCTATTGACATTAAAACAAAACAAAACAAAAACCCTTATTTGAATGGACTTTAAAAAAATTGCACTTGTTTAGAGTAAATAAAGATATTATATCAACTTCCAATCATTACTACATACCTATGGTGGTACCTTGAGAATGACCCACATAATACAACTGCTCTTGGCCTGTTTTTTTCAGAACAAAGTTAACTGAAGCTGGCAGGTCATACTTTGCCATCTCATCAAAACTGTAATGAAAACAAGGAATCCTTCATTGGAACATTGCATATATACAGAGCAGTACACAAGAGACACGTTTGCAGCCTAATGGGTATCACACATGGGATCCAAGGGAGTGATGCAGCACTGAGCTCAGGAAAAAGAACAGCCCCCGAATCTGAGAAGCCCCTTTGAGCTTCCTTCCTGTCATACTCCCAAAGAGAACTATTACCCTTTGGTTTTTCACACTAGAAATTAGATAGTTAGATTGATCAGTTTTTGAATTTTTCTATTACTAGGACTGCACAGTGTGTGTGTATATATATATATATGTTGTTGTTGTTGTTATGTGCCGTGGAGTCAGAACCGACCCATAGCGACCCTGTACAGGGTTTCAGAGGGTGTAAATCTTTACGGGAGTAGAAAGCCTCATCTTTCTCCCTACTCTTTCATCACTACTCTACCAGAGCTCCTTTTATATATATATATAAAGCTCCTTTTATATAGATATATAGATATACAGATAGGAGCTCTGGTAGCGTAGTGGTTACGACTCGGGCTGCGAACCGCAAGGTCAGCGGTTCGAAACTACCAGCTGCTCCGGGGGAGAAAGATGAGGCTTTCTACTCCCGTAAAGATTTACACCCTCGGAAACCCTGTACAGGGTCGCTATGGGTCGGTTCCGACTCCACGGCACATAACAACAACAACAACATATATATATATGGTGTGTTGTTGTTGTTGTTGTTAAGTGCCGTTGAGTCGGGTCCGACCCATAGCGACCCTGTACAGGGTTTCCGAGGGTGTAAATCTTTACGGGAGTAGAAAGCCTCATCTTTCTCCCGCGGAGCGGCTGGTAGTTTCGAACCACTGACCTTAAGGTTCGCAGCCCGATTCGTAACCACTACGCTACCAGAGCTCCTTATATATGGTGTGTATCTATCTATATATATATATATTTTGCTGTGGTTAAGTGCTGTCAAGTTGGTTCTGACTCAGAGCGACCCTGTACAGAGTTTCAGAGAAGCAGCTAGATTTGAACTGTTCATCTTGTGGTTAGCAGCCCACTATCTGATAGTGCCATACCAGGATTCTATAATATCATACACACAGTATATATTCTTCTTTGTCTGGTTCCATCCATGTTGGATAAATTACATACATATATATATATATGTATGTAAGGAGCTCTAGTAGCATAGTGGTTTTGAGTCGGGCTGCTTAACCTCAAGATCAGCAGTTCTAAACTACCCCTACCACCACATGTGTGTGAATAAACACACATACACAGCATTTATTCTTCCTTATCTGACTCCATCCATATAGGATAACTCATACTTAATCCATTTTACTATTGAACTTTTGAGTAATTTCCAGTTTTCTGTTATTATGAACAGTGCTACATAAACATTTGTTAACAAAGCAAAAGATGCTTATTGAGGGGAAAAGTGCTTCACACATCAGGGTAGCACAGAGCAACCAGGAAGCTACAAAATGCTTCCAATAAACATATTCTTGTATGTGGCTTTTGACCAAACCTTTCATCCTGGTGTTTCAAGTCTTTATTCAGGCACAGCCTTGATGAGTGGGAAGTGTGTCTGGAAGAGGTCATAGGGCTCATCTACACTAATTCTTGTACAGGACACAGAGCTTAGAAACTCTGGGGATGGAAAGTGGGGGGGAAAGTTTTCATCAGCATTCACCACGTTTCCTTGGATTCTCCCTTTTAATTCCCCCAATAACCTCATGAAGTAGGTGTTTATCATCTCCATTTTATAAACAAGGAGACTAAAGCACAAAGGGCTTATATAACATGCTTTACCTGATAGGGCCAGAAATAAGAGAGAGGAGAAGACAATTTCAGAGATGAGAAATTCTAGTAAGAAGTGAAAATTTGGAATACATGTATAAGGGAGCTTCAGAAAACTTCCATTACCTTTGAGTTCCAATTTTTTGGAACCCCCTTGGATATGGGAGGAAGACTGTGGGACAAACCTTAACCATCAACTCCCAAACCTCCACAAATGACAAAATAACTGAAAAACTTATTCAATTCCCAACAGAATCTAAGTCTTCTTATCATGTAATCCACATATAGTTTCCCCAGCTAATTACTCAATTCAATTCCTAGTGGGGTTTTAAACCATTCAAGAGACATCAGTTTCTCCTCTCGAATGATCTTGAGTTACTTATCTAGTTCCCTCTACTGCTGGAATCCCATGTGTCTTTATTAAAGGCATTCAGGAAATCAAACCATGCCATTTATCAATTCAAATATACCTAAAGGCCCAGAATTCATCCTGAGAAACTGAGAGAGTCTTGTGTTTCCGAGACCAGGTGTTGCCCCTGCTGTTCCCCATCCAGACATCAAAACCAGCGTCAGCAAGGATGAATCCCAGGCTGTTGTTGACAGTATTGGTGACCCAGTTGCTGGAATCTGCAATCAAACCATGCTGCAGAAACACCACTGGTCTGGGGCCTATAAAACAGACATGTTTAAGAGTGAGCAGCACCAGGCTTCAAAAAACATGTTACTAAACTGATCATTCATAGAAGAGCCCACCAAAAATAATGAAACAAATAAATTAAAATACTGGCCAATGTACTCCTATATAAAATTAGTAAAGAATTTCTTTCAACACTGCTGGCAGTGTGGCAAATACGCTGGGCTGTTTTCCCATGTCTAGTAACAAGACATTGGTTTAAGTATCAAAAAAAAAAAAAAAAAAAACCCTTAATGTATCTTTTATAATTTTCAAAATATTCCTGCAATTTGCTCCAGTAATTGCATTTTTCACAAAGCACCGAAAGAAAAGGTCACACATGCAAAGACGTGCATTTGGTTTCTCGTCACCTGCACCTGGGATACTACAATGTACTGAACGTCATATATAATTACAAACCAAAGAAACCTGATCTCAGGCTATTTACATAAAATGTCAGGTTACTCAATAAACAAGGTAAATGTGGGCTTTATTGTGTTTCCTTACTAATATATAGTGAACAATTTCACATTTTTTTCACCACAGCAAAGATTCTGGCATCTGTCTCTCTCCCAACCATGCAGCACCTTCTTACAGATTCAAAGTCTCTTCAAATTTATGATCACTGAGCGGGATGGAAGAACCCAATAAATAAGCACAAGTAAAGCCGTGCTTACTTTGCTTACTGGGTAAATGTCCCTGCTTACATACTGTTGAGACCATAGGTCTCATTCTTCTCAGCAATGGGGACACAGCAGAGAATAAGACAGAAAAAAACCCACCCTCAAGGTGTTGGTTGATACTATACAATCATGAGTTTTAGAGTCAGACAAAGCTGGGTGTGTAAATCAGAGTGAGAGCCAAGCAGTCCAGTGTGTGTGCAAGGGGGGCAAGAAAGGGGGGGCCAGAGGTGAACAAAACTCAACCATTGGGGAGGGGAAACCAAAGCTACTTTTCCTTTCATTTTCCTTCTTGTTTGTTTGGGATTCTCCCAGTCCTCACTTCAAACTAGACATAAAAGCTCAGTGGATAACAGATGTAAAGGATAGAACCATCTGGGAAGAGCAGATGAGAAGGACAAAGTGATTCCATTCTTAAAAAGCAAAGACTGTTGTACAGACAACACTGTTTTCTCATGGGCAATGCCAGCAGGTGAGGAAAGAGGTTGACCGAAAAAGGTCCATGCAGTGGCCTGTCACTGGCATGCACTTAATCATCCTGAAGCCAGTCAGCTGTGCCCTTTACCATGTCCACTCATTTTACGATTTTTAACGGGAAAACTGCTGCATTTTAAGCAGTGGTAGAGGTGTAAGCTATTGAATCGATTTCAATTCAGAAAAACTACGTGATAGAGCAGAATTCCCACACCATTTCCAAGGAGTTCTGGTGTGGCGCTGTAGGATAAGCACTGGACCATGAGGTCAGTTTGAATCCCAAGGTCGGTGGTTCAAGCCCACTAGCTACTCCTTGGAAACCCTATACAGAGCTGCTATGAGTTGGAACCGACTTGATGACAGTTACCAACAACAACAACAAATCTCTAAGGAAGCAGAATGCCAGCACGACAGTCTTTGGGTTCTAACTGCCAACCTTGAGGTTAGCAGCTAAGCACTTAATCATTGCATCACCAGAGTTTCTTCTAAGCAGTTGTACTAGGAAAACAAATCAATCATGTGATTCAAATCACATGTTACATTTAATGTTAGCTCTTCGTTGTATTAGCCACTCTGCTAGATGCTAGAGACAGAAAGAGAAGCAGCCCACACTCCTTGCCCCTATACTAGGGGAAATGATGGACATGTCTCCTACTAGGCCAGCATGATGAATGCCCACACACTACCTAGCAAAGCCTAGAGGAAAGAGAATGTCATTCAGTCAAAGAGATAAACATTGGAACTGGATATTTATTGGAGTCCTGATGTGGCACTGTGGAATCATGCACTGGATTGCAAGGTCAGTTTGAACTGAGAGGTTGGCAGTTCAAACCCACCAGCTGCTCCTTGGAAACCCTATACAGGGTCGCTATGAGTCAGAACCAAGTCAACGGCACTCAACAACACCAACAAGGTTGGCAGTTCAAATTCACCAGCTGCTCCTTGAAAGCCCTACACAGGGTTGTTATGAGTCAGAACTGGCTTCATGATACTTTACAACAACAAAGGCCAGAGAGTATGCCCCAGGCCTCCACTAGGGGTGCCCAGATCACAGATTATAAAGCTCCCTGAGTGAATCTTGAGGTTCAGTCAGGTTGGTGAACGGCTAGAAAAGGTCAGTACCTGATCTGACCTGGTGTGAATGGGAAATGAAAGATATGTTGTTAGGTGTCGAGTCAGTTCCAACTCATAGCAACCCTGTGGACAGCACAACGAAGCCCTGCCCAGACCTGTGCCCTCCTCATAATGTTCCCCTTGAGAACATGGCTGCTGCCACTCTTTCCAGACTGGGCTAATTTTGAGAATGAATGGGCCCCTCCGATGAAACAGATGAAGAAGATATCACTCACTGGGTGCCTAAGACCAGTGATTCCATTAACTATGGTGAGGCACCAATAGCCAGAAAATACTAACAAATCTTGGGGTGGAACCTTTGAAAAATGCATGCTAAGGTGCTTGCCCCTTTCTCTACATAAAGCGCTCAGGAGAGTATGCCAGAGGATTGGAAAGTTTGAAATCTCATCTGGGTGTGGCTTCTCTTACCTGCTCCCACCAAGGAAAAGAGAAAGGTGTAATGCAGTTCTTTCACATCCCACCACCAGTCAATTTAAGAACTTGTTGGAAAAACAAATTGCTCTCTGGGAGAGTTAAACTGACAGCGACTCATCCCTTCCAGAGAATTCTTCTCGTCAGATTTCTTTTCACCTTTCTACTGAGAGAAGCTGATGGCAATGAAAGCTATTCCTGAGCATTTACAAGCTCTGGGTGCTGAAAGCACTCTATTGTGCTGGAAAGCCTACCAAGCTGGCCCTAAACCCATTTTACAGAATGCAGAATTATGACTAAGTCAAGCACTTTGCCCAAGGTTGGACTACAACTAGTAAGTGGGAGAATTGAAGTTTGAATCCAGGCATGTCTGATGCCAAGATCTATGCTTTTAATCAATTTGCTATAGGGAAAGGTGAGTAAGAGAGGAATCATTCTGGAAGATTCACAAGTCCCTCAGATAATGATAAGCCAAAGGGATAAGCTATTTTGGAGAATCTAGACCAGACACTTGGAAGACTATAATCTCTAGCAGATAAAGGATGGGCAGAAGGGACACAAAACTCAACCTTGCCCAGTGGGGCAGTTTTCAGGACTAACCTATTCAGTGGCTCTAGCACTTTGAGGCCTGATTTGTGAAAGCAACAAGCCAACAGGACAGACAACTGTTGTCCTCCCAGTCCATAACCTAGAGCTAGCTTGTCTATCCTAAACTGCCTCTAGGAGGTAAAAGAACCATTTCTTGGTCTAGAATGGGGCACTGGCCTCATCAAGGTCATCTAGTAGTTAGCACCAAGCTAGTAAAGGGCTCAGTGACCACAGTCACAATGCCACCCCACTTGATGAGGTCCAAAGGTGAGTGAAAGCAGGATTAGCATTACTCAGGCTCTGAAACAAAGTCTGCTGATCTCACAGTCCCAAAGAAGGAAGATGACTGGGCGGGAGGGGAAGATCCTACTGCCTCCCAGGATCCTGGCCCTCAGACAGCCTCCACCATGCTCCAAAAGGGAAGCCAGCTGAGGTCCAGGGGAAAACCATAAAAAAGAGCCAACTCACAGTGAGTCAAGGGCCAAGACAAAAAGTATGGGCATTAGCTTCACACAGACCTTGGCTCTTACCAGAGCACTACCTGTAAAACCTTACAGAATTCATTCAACCCCTCTAAAGTATATTGTTGTTGTCATTGTTAAGCGCCACTGAGTCTGTTCTGACCCACAGCGACCCTGTACAGGGTTTCTGAGGAGCAGCTGGTGAGTTGGAACTGCTGACCTTGCAGTCGAGTGCTTACCCTACAGCACCACCCAGGACTCCCTCTAAAGTCCAGGCGCCTTTTCTAAAGTGGAGATGATAACAGTACAGTGCCTGGGACACAGTAAGTGCTCAAGAAAGAACTCTGTTGTTGGCTGCCATTGGATTGATTCATGGCAACCCCATTCACAAGGAATAAACATACGCAGTCCCACACCATCCTCAGGATTGCTTATGGGTCACGCCACTGGGATCCACAGGGTTTTCATTGGCTGTGTTTTGGCACTAGATCACCACACCTTTCTTTCAAGTCAGCCTTAGTTTAGAAGTTTTGCTGACAGCTGTTCAGTATCATAGCAACACCCAACCCTCCACTGACAGACACAGGTGGCTGTGTATAAGGTGCAATGGCTGAGAATTGAACCCAGGTCTCCCAGGTGGAAGGTGACAACTCTACCATTGAGCCACCACTGCCCTCCACTGAATAACAGTCACTGGTCTCCTGCTCTCCCTCCCCTTGTCAGCCAACACAGCATCTCCTTAGCTTGCATTATGGCATCTTGACTTCATAGAACTATGCAGGTGGCAGAATATTGGGAATTAGCTCACTCTGGTCCAAACCACTCACTTACTGTTAAGTGCCATTGAGTAGGTTCCAACTCATAGCAAGCCTGTATAGGTTTCCAAGGAGCGGCTGGTGAGTTTGAACCGCCGACCTTGTGGTTCAAACCAACCTTGTGGTCCAATGTGAATCACAGCAGGACACCAAGACTCCACTCACTTAATAGGGGAGAAGAAAGTGGTCCAGAGAAAAGAGGCCTGCAAGTGAGCAGCCAGCCACAGAGGACAGTTTCATAAGCTGTCCCCTGCCTCCACATCAAGATATAGCTCTTCCCATTACTTCTGACATCAGCACTCTGCTCTCAGTAAGCAAACCCTAACTCAGGCACCTTCTTCCTTTCCTTTAGAATACTTTCCCATGATGAGGACTGGATTCTGAGAAGGCAAATCCATCCTGATATTTAAGAAATAAGAATAGTAATAATAGC